CTATATTCTCGTGTGCTGTATTAATATAGAACATTTTAGTGGCATTTAAAGTAAAGTTTTAATTAACAGGTGTGGGTAAAAGCGGGGAGGAACAATTTCAAAATCATAAAACAGAAATTTCAAACTTTATTGAGTTATTTTGTGATGTTTTATTGAAACATTGCTTTAAAATGAGTTGCATACAGGAAATGATTGGTTTTGTAGTATTTGAGATGTTTTACAGTTTACTGCACAGTTTTTTGTATATCAGACTGGATTTTCTAGTGTTTACACCTCATCTTACACCATCATCTCATTTTTGAACCGGTTGCATGTGGCATGCTTTAGATATTATATTCTTATAACAGTTACCATTGATCCAGATATTACGGTCTGCACCGGAAGCCTTTGTACGAGCCTGATACATGTATATACGTATTATATTCTATAAAGGCATAGCCTAAATAACTAATTGAGTCATATCAGTTTAAGAATTTTTTTAAGTAAAAGTTAATGGAAATAGCTGGACAATGATTGAAATGATATTGTAATTAGTAATACATGTATGTGATTCCTTTTTGAATAAAACTTTTCCTCCCTAACCAACCATCGCAGGTAGGCGTAACCTCACACTAAATATCTTAAATGGACATGTCGTTCTTTCAATTCGGACAAGACATTTCGAACTTGGGTTTTTTTTTCGAGAAAATGTCAAAATAATACTGAGTAAATAGCGAACATTACACGATCAGACGACATGGATGTGTCGGTAGATTGAGTTGGAGACAAGCAACCTAAGAGCTAAACTAGAGGAAACTTATATTAAGTTGTATCACTTAGTAAGATGTCTACAGACAAACGTGTATTTATGTCTTGTTTGAACAATTACCAGAAATATATATCTAAGATAGTAATTCTATAGTTTTTATGCAGACTGTTTCATTTCCCTCCCCCATCACCTGTCAGATATCTGTACACAGGTTATACGAGCTTAGTGCATCTGTTCGAATATTGCATTTAATTGCTAGTGAGTGTTTCCAATTAGAACGGATTTTTCTGGTATAGTAAGATATCATTTGAATAAAGATAGAATTGTCGTCTGCAAAACAAATGTTGTCTGCTTGTTTATTTTGTGTTGTTGTTGTTGTTGTTGTTTTTTGTTGTTGTTGTTAGTGTTGTTTTTGTTGGTTTTTTATTATTATTCAATTTTCTCTGTATCAAAAATAATTATGATCTAAGTGTAACTGTCCTGTGACAAGAGGGGTCTGACAGAATGTAAGTCTTGAATTGCTATAGAGAGACGGGAAGGAGGTGCAGTGCGGGGGGGGGGGGGGTAAATGACACTTGATTTTTTTTTTAAAAAAAAAAAGAAAAAAAACCAGAAAATTGTCACTTTGATGTGTAATTGAACAAGTGTATTTTAATTTGTATGATGAATTGTAATTTTATTAATACTGATCTATATTCTGAAAAAAAATGTTTATAAGAAATCAATCCAAATCAATCAGTATTTACTATTACCTCTGATTGAAATTATAATAATATTTTAAACATCATATCTTTTCTGAGTGCGTAGCTCAGAGAACATTATTGTTAGTTTATATGCTTTGTTGTCAATTAATACGCGTAAATGTTTGAATATTTTGTATGTATTTTAACCCACACATTTATTCGACTGATTTTAAACTAGTGATAAAAGTACATTTTTCATTCATTAAATTGTTTTGTATTTAAAGGTATGTTACACTTTACAGATCGTATCATGATATAGCTATTAAATCAAATTCATAGAGTAGGTAGGTAGATATACTTACATATTTACCACACGAGAAGTTTGATCTATTTCACTACACAAGAACTTAGTTAGCCTCAGTCATGCTTTAATAATGTTATTTAAGTTGTTGACAAATTTGCGGTAACTTCAAAACTTAAAAGTGCACAGTGCATACAGATAATACTTTAGGATTGTCAAAGATTTATATAGAGTACAAGCCATGCAGAATTGCACAACAATTATCATTATTAGTCTGGGACTTTGTCAAGGTTTTTTATTATCAATTTAAGGGATCAATTTCAAAATTTGTAAACAAGTGTCTGTTTAAACGTTGTTTTTTTTTTTAATTTAAGATTACATGAATAAGTTTAAGTTTGTTATAAGCTATAAAGATTTGTGGGTGTAAGTCGTATGGCCCAGTACAGACCGTAGTAGACTAATGAAAAAAGAAAACCACCGTTTATAATCGGCCATAAAACATGTCAAAAATCTTAATATAATGAATTTTATAACACTGAACATTTTATTTCCTCTGGAAAATAGTTTTTTTTTCAAAGTTCATAAATTTACAACAGCCGGGTATGTAGATAATAATTTTTATAACCGTTGCGATTGAAATGAAAATAGTTTTTACAAAAGCGTAAATCCAATGATTTTGGCTAACCTCGGGTGTTACAAACTTAAAGCAACAAACCACCTGACCAGCTGGAGCTAAGATATTCATGGACTCCAGTAATTTGAACCTGTGTAGTCGCCTATTACGATCACGCAGGGATAAACGATAGCCGCAATTCTTATGCCTCAAACCTTGAGGTATCCTTGCTCTCGATCTTGCTTCTTGTCATATAGTATGACCCTTTTAATATTCAGTAAATAGTTTGTCGAGACGAATTTGCTCATTTACCTATTTATATAGATATTAATTTGTATAAAACTAGTATTTTGTTCGTATTGTTTAATGCCAATTAGTCTCAATATTTCGACTGGAAGACCGACCGATTTTACAAACTGATATTGCTTAGATGTCGGTCTTTACACCATCGTTTATTCAAGAAAATACTGGCTCACAGTGCAATTTGTTGGGCTAATTGCAGATATGCTCAGCTAATGTTTTTGACTGGACATGCTTCTTACATAGCACTTGCAAAAAACAACATATGGTGGCCATTGCAAATGTGTTGGTGATCTTTCTTTGGGTTTTACTAAAACAACACGCTAAAATAAAACATAAAAATGTTGTGAACAGATACATTTTTCCTAGAAGTATGTAAGTGACATTCCAAGTACTATCTTACAAAATTGTAAATCCAAGAAAATTATATACAAATAAACGCCGTAAATATCTTGCTATCACAGGTGTTAGTTAGTTAAAGAGAAGACAAAAAAAATAAAAACAATATTTGATCTTCTTTTCTACGTGCGCACGAGATAAGAGGTACAAAGTCTAGGTGGTAATGAACAGTTTTATAGCTTATTAATAAGCAAACACAGATAAACAATCAAAGTTGCACTAAATTAGAGGCATTAGGGTATAAAACATACAGACAATAATGAAAAGTGCCAAATGCAATTAGGAACTTTGAATGTGTACGTTTCTTAAATTATCATTTTGTATATCTGTACTCATTGTGGGGGTTGAAATTTCTTTTAGATATTAAATGATAAAAAAAGTTTAAGTTATAGTAGTACCGCTAATGGTGAATGCTGAAGGCCGGTGCTATGGGGCGTCGTATATTTATCACTATCAGAAGTAAATTCAGTCAAACCGTCAAGTCTGCAACATTTGACTTTGCTATTTTTGGAGACCTTTAAGATTTATCTTATTTCAGAAAAAAATATGTTTGGACACTTTTAAGATTATTATAGGTAATGCTCATTTAATATACGATTGTCGGGTTTGCTTTTCCCATCGGTAACAAAATCACTTTTCTGAAATAAACAAAACTGTTATTTCAAAACTTAGACTGGGCATCATTAATATCGTTTCCTCATTAATTAAAATGAGTGTCCGTGTACGTTTTATCCAGAAGATCCTTTCTGATTTTAACAGATAAGTGTACAGATCTTGCTACAGATGCTTTCCCATCTGCAGGTGGGAATCTTTTGAGCATATTACAAACTTTTATTACCCTATACATTTCACTATAAAATATAAGAAAGTTGTTAAAAAAGAAACAATATAATTTGAGTAAAACGTGAATGAAACATAAAAATTCTTTAAATAACTAAAATTTCCAACGATTTAATCGGTGTTCCTTATGGCGTTCCATAGTATACAGAAGTGTACACCGGATGCGGCCGAAAGTAAATGCCATAGTCTTTCTAAGTTAAGCGGAAAAATTAATCTTTGGAGAAAGATAAAACAGTTGTGAGTTTAGATGAACCGTTTCTGTCGGGTCAAAATGTCATAGATTTATGGCATCAAAGCAGCTGCTTCCAGAATAGAAAACCACAAAAATACCCACACAAAATAATAAATAAAATAGATAGAATAAGTATTCGTGGAAAAAAATGATTCAAGAGTGTCTCATGTAAAATATATCCATGAAGAATTAGGTCTGTTACTACCTTGAGAAAATGAATAACTTTTTGAGTTTAAGTAAAATATATCATAACTTATATTCATACCGTAACTTCCGTGACTTTTTAAGTTTTCATAGGAACTGAAGTAAAATACAATGTATATCAAAACTTAATATCGTTACTTCTACTAAACTGAATGATGCATTTTGTATGTTACATTATAATAATGTACCTCATACAAATGAATGTTTTGTTGTTTTTTTTAATTTTTGAATGGAGCTGAAGAAAATGTATCATAATGGTAAATAAGTTATTAGTACTGAAATTTCTTTAAACGAAACGAATGATTGATTTCAGAGACGCTGAAGTGAGATATATTATAACTTGTTTCTGTTAGTACAGCAAAAACAAGTTAAGTAGTATGCTGGTAATGGAACTCCGCGATAGTGTGAACATGTCTCACTGATTTGATGTCAATCAAAACTTTAAAAAGGATACATCAAGATTGAAAAATTTAACCATGAAACATTAATTTTTGAAGCATACATACATTTCATATTTTTTATGAATAAAAAGTCTATTTCTTAAATACAAAATACCTTTGCAAAGAATGACCATAGGAGAAATTATATTTCAACACGCAGGTTTGGTGGGTGGGGTATATGTAAAGGAAATTATGACATTTAATTAGGTCAATTATCGGGTAGGGGCTAAACGGACATACCGTAATTACGGAGTATTGTCTCCTCCTCCGGAAAACTTCCAGGTCTTAACTCTACAAGATAAAATAAACACATGAATTCATGAGTTCCATGGTTAAAATGCTTAAGCACCAAAACCAGTACGTTTGGACCCGAGACCGAGAAGTGTTCCCCTTTTTTTTGTATCCATTACGTAATGACATAGTCGGACCGACGCTTATTGTTGCTAAAACTGCTGATATTGGTGTGATTATATTAAAACAGATTGGTGCCAGATTTTGCGAAGCCTACATAATAATACATGTATATAAATGTATTCTCTGGTATCCATTTTCATATTACATTAAGATTTTTATGCAATATTAAGTTGCAATAAATTGGCACAAACTGATCATTGACAAAAAGCCGGGGATGTGTATATGAGAGGAAATTGTTCTACACAGATATGTTAACATTTGTTTCATCGCTTTATATAAGTATGTCAATTTTTTAAGAAGATACAAATGACATGACGTGAAGTTTTATTTATAATCTAAACATGCCAATGTGCGGTAAAGTCATCAAAGATCATTCAGTTCTGAATTTATCACATCTTATATCTATATTAGAGTCATTATTATCTCAATGGGATACACAAACAGATACCATGCACATCTTCTGCATCCGTAAAACGTTTTTCCCGCCAAATTATCGTCTGCTGCAGTAGAATGTCAGCAGGTGCCAGCACGCGCAACATAAATCATAACATGGCTGACTCAAGCTTAAAAATATCTTGTATTTTCATTCCAGAAGGAATCAAAGAAGTATTTCCGTACAGAAACATTCCTGAATGCTTGAAGAGTAATTATGTTTTATTGTTGAAGGTTTTTCTCATCACTTTGAGTCAAATAGTACATACCTAGTTTCTTAGGTATGTTTTGACAACAAATAATTCCAGGAAACAATTCTAAATCTGTATCTATATATAAAGTTTAAAAATGCTATATTTAATCAGTACTTAATCCCCTTTTAGGTTACTTTTTAATTTTTGAAGTTGGGTTATTGAATTAACTTATCAAACTATTTATTTTAGCTATATTTGAAGCAATGTATTACAATTTATATGTCTGAAAATGACGTAAATGATATATCGCGAAAACTTATGACAATTGAATCAATGTCATTGTGAAAATAAAACATTTGTGTGTCATATATAATCTTAATCAGTATTTCATTGTTGTTTTTTTTTAACTAAACAACCTGTATAAACTAGTATGAAAATATCTGTACATAATATTGTAAATTGTAATCGCTATTAAACACGATGCTACAAAAGTTGATACTGACTTCATGGATTTATTTATGAGATTTATTTTTACAATTTTAAAATGATGTATCTTTCTAAAGCAGGATGCTATATATTTTATTCATTTCTCCTTCTATTTATAAATGTCTGCGCTAAACTGTGCACACAGAAAATCATTTCTAAGCCCTTGGAAAGCAATTCCCATCTTTTAATCATTTCAGTATTATCTGGATTTTGAAACTATGTTCCACATTTGGCAACGATGCTTTTAAAAAATGTTGAAACAATACACCAACAAGATAACAACAAATAAACCTGACAGCAAACAACAACAAAAAAACCAGCATAATGTTGATTAGTTTCCCTCCCATTTCTGATTGTTTTCAATTACTAACGTATTATATCTCATATTATCAGAGCCAAATGCTAAGTTTTTAAACAACAAATTATAGTTGTTGCGATCAAAGGATCATCTTTTGTACTTCTGCAGTAAATTGATGAAAATAAAACGGTACAAAACATCCCATCTGTAATCGTTGTGTTTATATTACATTCTGGAATACCTGAGAATCGTGGAGATAAATGACAGATTTATGATCAATTTTTGTCTGTTAATATAACAAATGGGTGGTCAGTAATACTGACCAGAGACTGACCAGACGGTGCTTTAATGTTCACACCAGTCTTGTGTATTATTATAAGATATCCTGCTTAGATTAAGCCTTTAATTATTTATTCTTTGCAGCCATTTTTATACGCTGCAAAGAAATTTTCTTTTGACATTTTTAGTAAAGTTTCATTTTTCAATGAAAATTTTATAAGACTTTCTTGCAATATTGTAAACAACATATGTTAATAACATTTTTCAAAATTTTTATTCAAGTTACAAAATTGTTCTCAAAAACGTCTTTCAATATTTTAAATATCGTTTGTGATTATGTTCTTTCAAAACAAAATATTCAAAATAACAAAATTTTCATAAGATTTTTAAAACATTTTTAAAAAAAGTTTGATTGCACCTTTTTTACAAAAAAAAACAACAACAAATAATTAAAAATAACATTATTGTCATAAGAATTTCTTACAACATTTTCGATTTTCAATAACGATTGATAATAACATTTTTACAAACAAATAAAATATTCAAAATAACAAAATTTTCATGAGGATTTTATATGAGAATTCTTATAACACTTTGAACAATATTTGATAATTACATTTTTTTTATTTTATTCAAATACCAAAATTTTTCATAAGAATTTCTTATAACATTTTCAATAACGTTCAATATTTTTTTTTTATTCAAATAGCAAAACTTTCGTGAAAGTTTCTTATAACATTTTATTTTTTTAACATTTTAGATAACGTTTAATTATTACGTGTTATTGAAACTTTTAATTCAATTGACTTTTCATTTTGTCATTGTATTATTTCATTATGACACTATATTCCATCCAACCATTCTCGTTTCGTTCCAATCGGAACGTCTTCGACTATTATCATCAGGGTCTTTCAAATTTGAAAGACCTGTTGTCATTAATAACAAGTTATAAACCGAAGACTGACGGAAAGGGCCGAAAAATTGCGATTGGTTTCGTTCATGTATCATATTAATGATATTATGTTATAAATAATAACATAATACCTTATCTTCATCATGTAAGCGCATTCTTTTCCGAATAATTTATTACAGTGTTATTTCTGACGATTATAGCGTAATGAAGTTAATGAAATGGAATGGTTATGACATTCATATATTATAACGACTAATAACTGCCAGCTTAGAACCAGTCTAACATTTTTAATAATTTTAGCATCAAACTAGAGTATCAACTTAGAACACTAAATATTTTATCATCATTTTTAGAGAAAAATTCAAAATATATACTGAATGAATGGCGAACATAGCAGATCATGGTCAAACTACGAAAGACCGGTGGGGACATTTCAACTTCATGAATTCTCGATTTAATTTTCATGAATCCACAATATTCCAGTTTTCAACATACGGAATTCACGAATTCACGATTTCAGCTTCATGAAATCCTGATTTAAACTACACGAATTCATGATTTCAACTTCACGGATTCATGAAGTTGAAATCGTGACTTCGTGAAGTTGAAATCGTGAATTCATGAAGTTGAAATCGGGAATTCAAGGTCTCACCTTTACATTGCATCTGTTCTTAGACGAAAACTAAATGTTATATTTGTCATTCATTGGTAATAACTCTTAAGAAGTAGTATTTCATTTTTGTTATCAAAGTATGAATCTGGAAGGAAACTAGAATTAATCTGGATAGTTTTATTTATATTTAATAAGGAACTTTGATATCATCTCTGAGGGGAAACATGTTTATACATGTATATACAACCTGCTTTACATTAAACTTGAATCATTTATGTTTGTACAAATAAAGTTCGATAATTTGTTAAAATATATCTGGATTTCATTATTTTCATGCTTAAAACTGCACGATTTTCAATATTAATTTATATCTGTTCTGGAATTTATCTACGTTCTAATAAATGTTGTAATAAAATTGATAAAACAACAGCTTAAAGTGTGAGAATCTGATCTAACGTTACGCCAAGTTAGTTCAAATGATTCACTTTTATGATTTCTTTAAGACAGTTTATAGTTCATAACTTTCTCTGGTTAAATTTTGAGATCGGTAAAGAAGTACGGGAGAATGTGCACTTTGTAAAATAAAGTGTCTGTTTTAACCAGTCAAATAGTCTAGTCGGAACAAGCAAGACGTGCCTGTGTGGACTGAAGAAAACATTTGAAGTGTGATCATTTTGCAAGATAAAAGAAAGAATATTAACCACTTTGAGCATTAATCACGAATTCACAGGAGGTCCGCAGTTAATTTGGCAAAAGAATGGGATCTTAACTGCTTGCCTCCTACCATTGTTACATCTTTAATGATGAATGAGTTATGCGTAATTTATGGTGTACAATAAACAGAAGTGGGTGCCTTCGCCTTTACCTACACATAACCTCGCCCAGCATCCACACTGCGATCGGTATGCCAAACAGGTGACCTTGACCTCTAGTCGCGTGTTTTGTCGTCTGCTAGTTCTGTATGAGGCGAAGTCTCATTTATAGTCATTGATAACAATTTGTCTCAAGTTAAGAAATACAATTATCATTCTCATCAACATTTTGTAATATTAAGCTTGAACAGGTAATAAGCAGGAACGTAGAGCCATTTATAAATCAAGTTTTAAGACCAGAACAAGTGCAATAACTTTAACTCTCGTACAAAACCTTGCCGCCAGGACCCAACAATCCGAAATGTTCAGAGTAAGCTAGATTTAAACTGAATTAGAACTTCAAGAACCCCTGGAAATGCTGATTTATGTACAAAAAAGGTCTCTTCTTGTTCGATTTGTTTTTGCTGTTTACTATTTTGTTTATTTTGCTTCGCATACAAAATATATTTAGTCTAATAACATAGTTTTGAAAAAATCTTAGAACTGCGTAAACAACAGACATCGCACCAACATTGCCTCCCCCCCCCTACACCGCCCTCTGAAACATGTTAATTAACTATTAAAGGGACTCCACTGAGGTTTTTTGACATGATGGGACTGAAAATATTTTTTCCAGGTAAATGTACCATTTGATGTAGGTGTAGACCACGAATCTTTGTGCAAACTTTCAGATCATTCGTGCACCTTGTTTACCATAATAATTATTCAAATTGTAAAGAAATGACCCAAAATGAAAAGCGTTTAAACGCTTTTCACTCAAATTAGGCTAAGAAAAGCATAAAACTACGATTTTCAATTTATTTTAAGGTATATTTCTTAACTATCTTTGCATATATTTCTGTTTAAAGCGCCTCATTTCATTTATGTAAGAAATTCTAATGTTATGTTTTGAGGCTTTGAAACCTCAGTGGAGTCCCTTTAATCACAAGTATTTGTAGATTATGTCATTATCATTACAGAGAAACATGGTTTTCATATATTCAGGTAATTATTGAATCAACGTGAGGAATTCTGTTAGGAGTTAACAGGCGGTCAGTTTGCTTCGGAACTAATTTAGCGGAGGAATCTGGAACTATTTACTTGTAATTGTACTTTCGTACAAGCATAATATACATTGTAGACAAAATACTATTAGTCAGGGATCAGTCATTACAAGATCTTTGAAACATTCACATTGATGTAGATAATACTGACCAGTGATGATGTTTATGATGATGATGAATTAGGTAATAAAGATGATGACGATGATGATGATGGTGGTGGTGGTGGCAAGATGAGGATAATGTCCAGAGGTAGAACAATATGCTACGGGATGGAGATGTCCGGGTTCGAATCTTATCAAAGACACTGATAATTTTCTTGAGCTACACTGTTTTCATTCACTAAGGTGTAAGGGGTGGTTTGATTCCGTCTTACCATAACGTAAGCTGCCTATAAGCAAGGTGAAAGGCTCCACATTTAGATAGATTAATAGATGACTTCTAGTTACCCCAATGACCAGGGCTAAAAGTGTAAATCAAACGTGCGACGTGCATGAAACCGAGCTTATAGCATGCATTTACTTTACTTTACTTGATTTTTATTTAACCACATTGAAAACATTAAAATCAATTTACGATGATTGTCTTTATTGTTATAACTACGGGCACTTTCTTTTGTTGTCACCAGAAACATTTATGTTAAAGATTGTCATCGAAATGTCTGTGTTATACAAGTGATTACTCTGTGATCAAAATGAATATTCGGAACTTTTCGGCTTTTTCCGTCAATCTTCGGATAAAGTATACTATTTCCGTCGCCGAGGTTATTGAATCGGCTCTTCCCAAATACTTCGGAGCGAAGCATTAATAGCCAAAGAGATTGGACTGGCGACATTTTGCGGCAAGAACAATATTTGGCGGGAATTGCGACATATTTAGCGGCAAGTGTGACATTAAGCGGCATTGCGACATAGAACTGACCCACAAGCTGTTCTCCTTTTCAATAGTAAAGTATAAAAGAGTCGCCAGACTTTGAGCCGATAAATTTGTCATGAAGCACAATAATATTTTACTTCTGACACTGCGTTGAAACAGTGTTATAATTGGAAGTAAAAATAATTTATTGACAAGAAACCAAATTACAGAATAATCATTACTCAACAGAATAAGATTTTGTCTTACAAAAGATATGAGAAATAATATAGTTTGGCAACTTGGCAAATTTTCTAAAAATGCCTTAAGAACTTCCTAGTATTTTTTTTTTTTTCAATTCTTAACTTTAAACAATGTTTAAAATCATTCTGTTATATGATGTAGAAACTGATGATTGTGCCACTGAAAGTTTTGACGAAGATGATTGTGACGATGATGAGGATGATGATGATGATGATGATAATGATGATGGTGATAATGATGATAATGATGATGATAATGAGGATGATGATAATAATGATGATGATGATGATGATGGTAACCACGACGTATGACGATGATTATAATGTCGATTATAAAGATGATTCAGATGATGATAGTGACGACGACGACGATGATTGATTGATTCATTGATTCATTGATTGATATGATCGATTGATTGATTAATTGATTGATCATGATGATGGTGATGATTAAAGACGATAACGAAGATTATAACAATAATGGTAAATCAGTTGCACATGCATCTTTATAAACAATAAATTATCTAAATTTGAGGAATAAAGTCATGGCGGCATGAATAATGAACGATTTTCGCTGGGTAAGCGAATAGAATCATTGTTAAAAGGATATTACCAAGGCGATGAAGATAAAAACACATCTACAGTATAACTTATGTTGGTAATTGGTTATATATATCTTCAATTACCGTCATGAAGGTATTGCCCTAGTCAGTCATGTGTTAATTGTTGAAAAGGAAATGAGGCGATATTGATAATGTATTCAACAAAAAACCTTCCCTATTATTGCCTACCTTGTGACTGCTGTAATAACGATGTATTTTTTTTCTACTTTTTTCCCCACTGATGAGAAACTCTCTAAGAGAAAAAAGACTAAGTCTTGTGCAAAATGCTTATGAAATAGTATTGACTGTACAACTGGGTGAAGAGTTTTACGTGTTTGGGATAATAATGAAAACGTATGTTTATATGTGTGTCCATGTGTAAATGTAGCTGTTTCACATAAAAGATATCTTACTTTTATCATAAACAATACAACTTGCTTGCGAAACAATGGCAATTAACTTAGAGCATGATAGTATACTGGTATTTATGGAGGGTTAGAAACCGAAAATAATGATGTTTCTGAAAGGTATAAAGCATGTTCTTGATGCAATGAATCATTTATTTTGTAAATAGAAAACCCGATGTTATTTTCTGCCTGTTTCCTGCATGTATGAAAAAGATTTCATATGTATTGAAATAGGACCCATGCTTATGAATACAAAATTTGAGAATTGTATTAATTATTTATATTGAACTTACCGTGCGGGCAACTGAAACCCAAACACTGGCATCCGGGCCCTTCATCCCCGCTTATACATAGACACTTCCCACAGTCATTTTTGACGTCACATCCTTCAGCTGGTAGCCGTGAAACAGAATCTCCGTCCAACATTTCACCGCGCACGGGTCGGCACGTGCAGTTACCGTATATAACATTCCGTATAACTCCCTCAAAACGTGGTTCAGAGAATACCGAAGGCAACGATAATTTAGTTAAAGAATTTCTGTAACTCCGTGGTAATCCTCCAAAATACACATCATTATTGCCACTGATATTTCCAAAGTAGAAATCCGAGCCAAAAGCAACCCTGCTGTCATGGAACTCGTCAAGGTACAAAGTGGTTTCCATACGATTACGTTGAACTTCAACTCGATGCCATTGACCGTCGTTGACGTTACGTCCAAGCGTTATTTCCACGGTACCTTCCGTTCCGTCGACGATATTCATACGTAGACGTACGGCACCGCCGTGGAGCATAATTTCGACGTAATCGTAATCGCCGTTGTCGTCCGTATACATAAGCAAAGCATCGCTGTATCTCGTCTTAAAATCAAAACTAAATGAACTATTTGTACAGGCGTCCCATTTTGGAAATTTTGCATATGTGCGGGCTGTTTTGGTAAAATGTAATGCATGGGACCATTTTATCACAGATAAGAATGAAAATATAAGAAAAAGTAATACTATTCTTTGAGTATACTCCATTTTTTCTCACTCCTGTGAAAAAAATAAACACAAATGGAATCTAAATGGAAAAATATAATAAGGTTTAAATTCCTTGGAATGTAGAAGTGCGGTTAGTTCACGGAATACTTAGCACCTGCAGAATTCCATCCGTCTGTTTTTCATTATATTAAAACTCTTCTTTTTTTCAATGCGTTAATGTTTACTCGCTAATCCATCACTACTCTATAACTGAAATCCGTGCTATGTTTGAAGTACTTTGAAAATTGTATTTATCTAGTCTTCAGACCAATCCTCAATTAGTTTACTCATTTCCTACGCACGGTGGTTTTTAGTTGCACTGAAAATACACAATATACAATATATTAAAAGTAGTATATATGTTATTTTCACTCGTATCAAAACGTATATTTATATTACACAAGCGTTTAAAGATTTCGATTGATATAAATAAACGCATGATAGTTTCTTCAATCAATTGGAAAATAAATGAAAACCTTGCAAGCGTTAAACAAGGTTGTATACAATAATGAGTTTACCTGGGGAGTAAAAATTAGAGCTAAAATCATTTCTTCATATTATTAAGTAAAGTTAATTAACGTTTAAAAGAGACAAGAGAAATAGAGCATAGCTTCAATAAATGATAGCAAACCTCGTGAAATTACTAAAACTAACCACAGTACAACCTCGACAAAGCAATCAACTTAGGGGACAATTTTATTTTGTTTTGTTTTTAATGTACTGTGAAGTGTCTTAGTTTGAAAAAAGGAGATACTACTATTGTAAATAGGTTATTGCTTGACACAGCATCGCTCTGTACAGGTTACACTGATGTCAGAAGTACACCATACACCATGTTGTGTACAACCTCGTGATTCATACACAATCACTTGAGCATTTTAAATATCACCACGTGATTTATATCATATCATTTAAGCGTCGTCAAAAACAACTCGTGATCTATATCATTTCTGTTTAGCATTATCAACATCACCTCGTGATTCATATAATATCAGTTAAGCATTTTAAATATCACCTCGTGATTCATACAATATCAGTTAAGCATTATAAATATCACCTCGTGATTCATACAATATCAGTTAAGCATTATAAATATCACCTCGTGATTCATACAATATCAGTTAAGCATTAAAATATCACCTCGTGATTCATACAATATCAGTTAAGCATTATAAATATCACCTCGTGATTAATACAATATCAGTTAAGCATTATAAACATCACCTCGTGATTCATACAATATCAGTTAAGCATTAAAATATCACCTCGTGATTCATATAATATTAGTTAAGCATTATAAACATCACCTCGTGATTCATACAATATCAGTTAAGCATTAAAATATCACCTCGTGATTCATATAACATCATTTAAGCATTATAAATATCACCTCGTGTTTCATATCGCTAATATAGTTATCATAGAATATATTTTTATAACAAACTGCGTGGGAAAAAACAGAATAATTCATTTATGTACGGAAAATGTTTTTAAAACACACTTTAAGTGAAAAAATAATGCGTGTATGAGTGAAAAAAATGAATAGAATAACTTATGTTGTGAATATGATTAAAACAAAAATACTGTAAGCTATTAACGGGTAAATACCTAAGAGTAATTACCTAAAACATATATTGACTGAATGAATGAACAAGTGTTTTGTAAAATAAATAAACAAGAAAATCATTGTTACTTATCAATCATTCGTGAAATGAAAGTGCATGTTGTGCATGTTTATGTGCATATCAAATAACATGCCAAGGTCTTCAGCACCTAAACGCGACAGTATTGTTTTACCTTTAAAACAGTTGCGCTAAACAATTTAAAACTAAAGTCAAAGATCGTAGCGTTTTAAACTGGTTTCATGTATCAAGTAAAACTGTCACTTTAATCTAATAGGTAAAATCTTTATGCATAATTCCGACGGTTTAAAACGTAAACTTTATGACACTTCTCGATCATGTAAAAGTAAGTGTGGTTTTATAAGGAAAAAGGTTAAGTTTAAATAAGGATCCTATTCGTAATGTAGCGAATTATTCAACATCTATATACATAATATTTAACACTGTCATCTGTTTCACGAATGTTTGAGAATTTTAAATGTACATGTATATCGATCTATGGTGTATATTGGCCTAGAAAACTCCATGCTACCGAGTTGTAATGTTGAAACTTTTAATTATTCCAATTTATCAGAAATATACACATTTTTTAGCACTTTTACGTGTACTCTTTCCGAATCGGTGCATATTGCTAAAAACACGTAATATTTGTAATATATAAATAGAACATCCGTCATGCATTCTATACATTAATTAATGATCTTATCTTTTCTTTTATGCAATTACTGTATACCTTTACACCCCGAACACCAATTTCTAGGCAAAAATAATAATATAAAAACCTTACAATAAATGTAAAACAATAAACGTCGAAATAATCCTCAGCACACTAAGTATAGTATTAAACTTTCCTCCGAACTTGCTTCCTGAGAATTACCTAATTACTTTTGCCAGTTAAAATCCATTTCAATGTGGTGCCTGTCACATCACTACTGTGATAAGTATCGTAGGAATTCACAGGTTAACATGCAAAAATATCTCACCAAAGAAAAAAGCCGGTATACGATAGTAATAGTAATACTGTATCATTCATACCTATTCATACCTATAGTGTAAATCACGTGGAGCATCCGCGCTGCTACACTACGGCATACGTGTGTATATCTGCAAGTTACTGTTATGTGTGCACAATATAGTCAGTAAGCTGAGAAAAATGTTATGTTGCGTGCATTTGTGTTTTGCTACAAACGTTGGGATAGAAAAGAAGAGATCAAAGTATATATACGAATCGGACACCTGCTAAATCCCTTACCCTTTTAACTCTCCGGAACCGGAAGTGATTTGCCTTTGCCACCAAAGTGGAACCAAAGGTCAACCTGCACACGTGGGCAGTCTGGCCATGCTGTATACTTTTTGTAACACATTTTTTTTGTATTTGATATCAAAATCCCTTAAACTTTTATAGATTGTTCAAATTTTAAAGCTAAGCAAATCCATCGCACATAATGGACGGTTCCAATGATATCCGGTTATTGTGCTATCGCAGTAGGTTCGTCGAAGCTGCATGCATCTTTCTATTGTACTACAGTTAGCCGTACCAACTTATTACAATTACTCAACGTGTTTACAGTCTTCAATCAGAGCGTTCGTGTTATTGCTTTCTGCCAATTATACCATTGAAATATAATAGGCCCACTTGTACAACCAACTACCAGACGTGCTCATGAACCTCTAGTATCATAGTTAAAACAGAAAATTGATAATTTATGCGTATCTTCAGATAACTTCTAGTAAAGTCGAGCCCATTTATCTTCTTTTAACAACCTCTTAGATAGATTCAAGCCAAAATAACAATCCATGCAATAAACCTCCCCCAAAATGTTTACTCGTTAACTGGTATTTTAGACATGAATGATAAAGATCTTAATCTGTGAATTATCATAACAAAGTTAAACTCATTTATTGAAATAATTTGCGTGTTCTTTTTCAACATATTTCGAACATATATAATGATAGTTTTCCATATCAGTTCATTATATAGAAGAAAAAAAATCATTATATTTGTACATATGCTTGAAATTGATATTTAATTATTATGCATTTCTCATAAAACTATTACATGTATCTAAATGCTAATTTTTGCTGTATTTAAATTTATAATACTTCATGCATGCATAATTAGATGAAAATTATGTAGTATAATTATTTAGTTTGTACAAATGGGAGTTCATTAACGGTGTTTTGTTAAGTTGTTAATATTCTGTTTACATTGTGTCTATTTTTTTCTCCATTTATGACAACTTGACACGTTCAAGGACTGATAACAAGTAAATTGTCTGCTGTTCTGAATTTAACAAAAAATCAAGCCGATTTTCGGTTGTCGTGAAAGAAACCGGTTTGATTTACAGAATCTCGGTTACAACAGTTGCGTTTGTCTGACAGATAAGAAGACGAGCTTTTTCATAGATTTGATCATTCTTAAAGATAACGTTCAAGAATTTGCGAAAGAGGATAAACTTATCTAAAGTATGTTTTTATCTACTGTGAGGTGAACGTACTTATCTGAAATTCCATGTGAAATATTTTAACAATTGTTAATATCCGTTTTAGCTTTAAACCATTTGAAGTTGCTCTTCTCTTACTTCCGTAGCAGTTAATAAAGAGGGTTATCATACAAACTGTAACTACTTTGAAATATTAGTATTTCCTTCGCGAAAAAAAGTCAGACACCCACGAAAAAAATCACACAAAAAAGTCCTATTCACAAAAATCACAAAAATGTAATCTTATGTAAGATTTTGCATGTAGTGTTCACTTAAAATGCAATCTTTCATACAATGGCAACCTGTTTATGTCAACTTTAAAGCGGAAAAAATACCACTATTGTCAAGTTAAAATGTCAAAGTATTATTAATTGAAATTCTACCCGTTTTATAAAAAAAGCGTATGTAATTTTTACACAACGAGGGGGAATAAATTAGTGTTTTTAACGTAAATGAATAATGGGGTATAGGCGGAACAACCATGACTGTCGCGTGTTATGTGAAATGTTTACAAAAATATCCGATTTCAGCAAAAATGTATTGATTTAATGTAAAGTACTCCAATTTTTCCTTTTGGTTGCAGATTTAGCATAAACTAACAAAAAGATCATTTTTGCCTTACATCATGGCCTTTAGATACATATGCTTGCATTATCTTGTAATCGTTTTATGAATAGTGAATTTAATTAATTCATTTTCAAGTTTTTATTGACTACTTTCTTGAATACTTGAGTTAAACTCGCGTCTACTTACAAAAATACCAATCGATAGTAAAACGAAATAGATGTAAATATGTAATACTAGTTAGATTTGTTTATTTCCTTTGATGTCAAAATAAAATGTCCATTCCCTGTATAGTAAAATGTTCGGCCAGCTAGAAGATATGCATCGTTTCATTTTCATTCCACCCGCCTAATAGTTTTTCAGCCATCTGTCTCTCCGGTTTACCTACTTAATTAGATATATTTAAAGTTCTGATTCTCCCAATTAATTCATACTGTTCACAATTTTTTACAATTACAAACGGTCGTGCTATTTCACACGTATTTACCATTACAAAAGCCTCATGCTGTTTCACACATATTTACCATTACAAACGCCTCATGCTGTTTCACACTTATTTACCATTACAAACGCTTCATGCTATTTCACATTTATTTACAATTACAAACGCCTCATGCTATTTCACACTTATTTACCATAACAAACGCTTCATTTTATTTCACACTTATTTACAATTACAAACGTTTCATGCTATTCACGCTTATTCACCATTATAAACGCTTCATGCTATTCATAGTTCCTTATAGTTATCTTACATCTGTCACTTCGATATGGCGAATGCTAACATTAGGCGGCATTTTAGAGAAGCAGAGTATTGGAAGACTGTATGGGATGGTGAAGCAGGGGGCCGCCTTCCGCCAGGTTTGTGCGGCGCTTGGTGTACACCACACCTTCATCACCAGAGCCTAGGAGAGATGCCGGCTACATGGTTCCCCCACCAGGAGGAATGCTGGAGGTCGGTCACAACACCAGCTCAGGGTCGGTTTTCGGTCGTTAAGGCACGTCGTGCAAGGTTTCTCGGCAGCAATTTCTCTTCGAAATGACCTTGGTAATGCTGCAGAGGTCTGTGTTTCCACGTAAATAAAATTATCCCAAGAAATATTCACACTCATACATATGGTGCTTATATATAGATGCAACAACGGCAAACTTTATAAATACAGATATTTTTTTTACTTATTTGTTAATAATGTATATTGTGGACAGTGGATATATATTAACGTTAAAACTACGTGGTACGAATAGAATTAATTTCCTTTACAAAGATAATATTCATAACTAGACTAAAGATAAGCTTCTTGCGAAAATCTAAATCCCCCTCTACTATTTTCCCCTCTCCCCTGCCTCCCCCCCCCACCGAGACTGACACCCCCTATGCTTAAGTACCACATCAGTGATATTTTAGTTAGACTTTAGATCGAAATACTTGCATAAATGTATTATAAAATGTGTTTAGATAATTACTTTATTATGTATGTTTACTTTGTTTTAGTGTTTTCCCATTAATGTCAAAATCTTTTTAAGCGTTCATGACAGAGTCTTTTAATTAAATCATCATAACTAGTAATCGCACCAGTGTAGGTCATGGAAATCTGTAAAGAATATTACCACAAATTATGGGGTTTGAACCCACGACCTACGGATGAGAAATTCAATCCTCTGTCCATGCTCCATTTTTCCTTCATAATAATAATACTACTACACATGTAGTGGCGTGTGGTAGCAATTAAAAATTTTGATCCAACACCGGTAGAATTATAACGTCTTTAAAATGAAAAAAGTTTGTAACAAACATGCATATAGCAATAAAATATGATTAAACTTAAACAAAGTTTAAAAATATACTTTTATTTTGTTCAATTCAAGTATTTCGATCAATCGTTTATGGTCGTTTAACACATGCTCTTAATAGATAAGACAACTTTAATTTTTTTCATTTAAGTAATTTTTGATTACGTCTAACAAAACAGAGTCTTTAAAAGACTCTTATCAGAAAAAAAAGACATTGACCTCCTTTGTGTATATTTATTATCTTTGTTACCCAATGTACTTTCCGTTCATTGCAGCTCTTTCGGGTAGTTTAATTGTAAGAAATCGGTCAGTAAATTTCTATATTTTGTTTGTTTTTCTCAATAACATATTATCGTTGTGCATTAGATGTGCAATTGAACTGTTAAAGTTTATAAAATTCCTATTATATTCGGTTCAGATTCCAAAAGGATTTGTGAGTAAGAGGGAAAATAGATGTTACCTGTTGTGTCACATGATTTCGCGACTAAGTAAAATTTTGTAACCAATTTCGGTTTCGTATAATCATTAATTAATACTGGTAGAGTCACTACTATAATCCGGAATCTAAACAAGGAGTAATATTGAATGTGCATTATGTATTTGAAGTACATGTCAGTGTCATAAATTAAACAAATGCTCCTTAAGGTGATTCCGCTTTGAAATTGTGTATAAAGCTTTACCTAGTACCTATAGTCCTTCATAGCATTTTCATTATAAAGTTTAACGTTCATTGGAAAATGCAAAGTCTTTCCTTTACTGGCTAATTTCCTATAGCAATTGACACACTTCTTGAGTTGATTTGAATTTACCGGTAAATCACGACTTAAATGTTATTTATCATAAAAGCAACTGATTGCATAATAAACAGAAGCTTTTTTTCTCAAATACTGCTTAAATATGCAAAAATTACTCACGATAAGTAGTTTATTTTATCCATTTATTTAAGAAGACACATGAGAGACATTTTGTGTTGACCCTGCATATTGGAAATTCCAGGTTGTGCTCGTAGGTGTTTGGCGTGTTGATTGGTCACTACCCCCCTCACCCTCTCTACAACCCTCCTACCTCTCAAAACCATGTAATCTGCAGTGTTTTTCATTTGAAACATGTTTTTAAATTTTGCATATGCTTTTAATTCAATTTCCCCTCATTTCCCACAAAAAATGAAAAAATGATACATATTTAGTAAAGGTATGCAACTCGCCCCTCATTTTTCAGCACCCATTTTAATATGAACTCCTTAACTCTAACATTTTTTCACCAATTTTCAAAATCTTGGTACCAAATGGAAGGGAATCCATTATTATTATTAAAGGAAATAAAGCTGTCATTACAATCATCTCAAGTTATAAGAAGATATGTAATCTCTAAGTCACCGCAAGTGTAAGTCTACAGAGACCCGATGCTGGATTTTTGTCAAAATTATCCGACTAAACGGCATTTTAATCAAAATGAATGAATAGTTTTTTGTATTGTGCATATAAACATGATAAAATTATATTATTATTTGTAATAACTGTTCAATCAAAACATCATATGAAACTTTAATGAACTGTTTTTCCAATATGTCAAATTCCAAATCGTAATGCAAGTAATGGTTCTGCAGAGTGCTCTCCCCTTTATTTTTTGTACAGAGTATTTTCATTGGTCTAAGGTTTTCACACGGCCAATGAAAATACTCCATACGAATGTATTCATTTATACTTTCATTTTGGATTTAGAATTTGACAAATGAAATTGGAGCAAAGGCAAATCACCTACACCTCCAACAGTTAATGGGTTATAGCACTATTTACAAAAAACGCTTGAAATGTTGTTTTTAATTTCAGATCAAATACAGTTAAAGTACATTTACATTTCAAGCAGTATGGATAATGATGAGAGACGGAAGATTAAGGAATTGATGAGAGAGAAAGGGTAAATACTTAAAATGAAAAGACCTGGGCGGCCTATATTCCTCAAAATATTCAGAATTTTTTCTTAAATATTATAGTAAATTAAAACATTATCATAGACGACAGTTAAACAAAGCATTACTCATTAGGGTTCATACATATTTACACTGTATTTATCACAGTAATTTGTAACCTATTTTGCAACAATTCATGCCCTTTAAATTAGGAGTGACCAGTGAAAGAAGGTTTAATTTAAAAACCCTGTTCAAGCATTCATTTTTTTCAGTGGATTATATAAATGTAATAAGACATTCATCTATGGGCAGCCGTGGCTGAGTGGTTATGGTTGTTGAGTTCAAATTGTTTGCTCCTCACTGCTTTAGGTTCGAATCAGCACAGGAACTTTGGATTCTTACATGTGAGGGAGCTATCCAGCTAGCGCATGGATTGTCAATGGTTCTACTCGGGTGCCTGTTTGTGCCTGTAATAACGTGTGGAAGGGGCACAGGACCTGAGGTCTTCATCCACCAGTGAAGCTTGAAAATTGCCAAATGACCCAATATTGTGTTGGTGTGATGTGAAACCCAACCAAAAAACAAAAACAAACATTCATTTATTTTGATTCTTATCAAAAGTTCAGCTTAGAAAGGCCTATATTTGACCCCTGCCTTATGCAGAAAAATCACTGAAACCACTGCAGGTTTAGTATTTAGTGATAAATATTTTGCAGTAAAGAAGATGAACCTTTACAATGGATGTACAAACAAAATAAACCAGACACGGAGGACTTCCTACTGGGGAAGAGACTTGATAAGTTTGAAGACGAAGAAGAGAAACAAGAAGGTTTGTATCTACATGTACATGTACATTTAAAGGGACTGCGCTGAGGTTTTTTTACCACATTAAATTCATGAAATTCAAAGATGACAACTAAATTAAAGGAGTAATTACTAATTGCTTTGTCATTATTACTGGATACTATGAAATAATTTAATTTTGTGGACATGAAATTCTGTGAGGTTTTGTCAAAAGGACACTTCTGTGGAATCTTTTATTCATGGATTGTTTCAGTTTTGTTTTTTAATGTAATTCAAAACAAGGTTAGCTTTTAAAAAAGCTAGTAGCGACTCGCTTCGTAATTTTTTTCAAGGGGTGTGTTTAAATGTAAAAATGACAGTTCTGTTAGCTAAAGAGACTTCAGCGAACATCAAAATAAAAGTGAAGTCAACACTGGCCCGGTGCCCGATGGCCAGTGTATATAAGTTCAGGCCAGTGTAAATTTAAGAAAATTTTGTTAATTATTTAGTAGAATAAATTCAAAACTGGAATTCGGGCCAGTAAATTCAAAATCTTAAACTCATTGACTGAAAGTGACATATAAAGTTCTCTCAGTTTAACCAAGATGAGTATGAGTATATATAAAGGTGCATGTAAACAGATAGAATGAAGAACCTATGTCTATGCACATTTACTATATGGCCTGTTGACCTTGACCACAAAATGTTAGATAGGTAGATTTCATAAAGATGTCTCTTTATACAAAATTAAGTTGTAATACATGTATGTTATTTAGTATTGGAATGAGAGGCACAAGTCCTAAAGTAAACACAAGTTGTCAATCAATTCAGCCAGAAAAGCCGGGATCCTATTAAAAAATATAGGGATCCCGGAAATTGACCAGTCTAAGAAGATGTTTTTCAGATAAGCCGGGATCCTATTAAAACATATAGGGATCCCGGGAATTGACCAGTTCAATAATATAGTTTTCAGAAAAGCCGGGATCGTATTAAAATGTAAATAGATCTCACGGATTGGCCAGTTCAAGTTTATAGTTTTCAGAAAAGCTGGGATCGTTTTAAAACATATAGGGATCCCGGGATTTGACCAATTCAAGAAAATAGATTGATTTTTCCAATTAATTAGGCATATTATTATTAGTATTGTGATTTCCGCATTTTAAGTTTGTTAATTAATAGCTCTAAATATATCTATATTCTAAGTTAAATTAATTTAACGTTCATTATATACAATAAAAAAATTAACGTTTAATGGCTTTTCATTACGACAACAATCAACACAAATAAAGTTCATTAGGTTTTTCCTCCATATCTTATACGATCCCGGACCCCGGGCGTCCCGGATCCCGGCCAGTAAATACATACACTAAATACCGGAAAGGATAAAATGACCGGAAAAAAGGAAAAATAAAAAATGCACAGAACCAGATGTACACTTATGTTAATTAACCAAACGAAAACTTACTACAGAGAAAACATGTGAAATAGCTAAATCAGAAGTCAGTGTAAATATGATTTATTAAAAAGAATTCATAAAGACAAACATTTTAATCATCATTATATCTTTGCGCTCAAAACAATACTTGCTGATTTTTAAAAATGGCGTGAAAATTGAAGTTTTTTTGACGCTATGTAATATTAAATTTGATTGGCTAAATAATTTTGGATCCTAGCCCTGATAGATAAATTTTGTAGAAAGCTGGAAGCCAAGCTTCGATTAAATTTTTGGATAGCTTCGGAGTTTTAGGTTGTTTCTCAGTAAAATCCTACCGTAATACCGGCTCGCCGTGGCGAGCCGGCATTATCTTTCAGTAGACAAACTGTAGTTTATTAAATTTAATTTAAATTAAGGAGTCAAGGAGTGACTAAAGTGCACCTTTTTGTGATAGAAAACATTATAGTGCTAAAATGCCCTGCAAGGAGTCACAAAAAAAGCACATTTGTGTGAGATAGTGCATAAATGCCCTGCAAGAAGTTTCAAAAATTCACAATTATATGATAATAAAGATTAAACAGATGAAGAATTTAGTGCAGTATCAAATGTTTAGGCTGGTATATTATTTTCAGATAGTTATGGAGCATTGTTCAGTGAAAGGATCCAACATAACGAACAGAAAGATGCACAGTCTAAAATGAGAGAAGACCCATTGTTTGCAATTAGGTAAACTGTTATCTTTGTTAAAGCAGCACGCCTCCAGATTATTGCTAATTTTCATGAAAATTTTGAAAATGTATTTGAATGTATAATTTTGTGAAGTAAGCAAAAGGAAGCAATTTACACATTATCAATGGTACTTTAAAACCACGTAAATTAACAAAAAGTGGTCAAAATATGCATGAATAACCTTTACTGCGTTAGTAAGGCAGTAGAACTATAGTTGAAAATACTTAAAAATCAGTCATTAATCGCACATAATATGTAAAATATTACTTGAGTCTTGAAATTTTTTACTTTTTCTTTCATCTTAGTACATTATTGTCAAGTTTGATTTTATTGAAATAATTTGACTCATCTGGAGGCATGCAGCTTTAAACATTAAAAGCATTTGTTTACCTAGGTGTGTTATTAACTTGACTATATGAAGGGAAGGGAATGCTATTGTGCTCTCCCTGGTGGCAGCATTGAAATTTGGTTAAGTTTTTGCCTGCAACTAAGTTGCCATTTGCAATCATACCAAAACTTCACACATTTACTTGAGAGCACAGTAGGAGGTCACTGTCCAAGGCCTATACCTCTAACGTGGACTTTGGTAGATTTATGGCTCTTTTTAACTTCAAAATTACTACTTTATACAGGCTCTTGCTTAAAAATCCCTTTAAAATGTATTTTCAAAAAGTCAAATTAATGTACATGCTAAAAATATACAAAGATGAAGCTTTCTTAAAAGATAACCTTATTAAAATGTACAATTTTGGGCCTGCTTTACTCATCAAAATTGTAGTCCAGTGTTTACTGGTTCAATATTCAGATGTGGCGAAATCTCACACTGAATTGATCTCGGGCATAGAGAGTAAAATTGTCATATGTATCTTACCACTGATTCTGAAATCATGTGGGATTAGTTGTTTTGTTACATGTGTAGAAATCAGAAATTACAGTTAAGTTATCCACTAATAGCAGTAAGTTGGAGTAATTGTAGATAAAAATTGATGTTAAAACCAAACCAACAAATCAGTTTTTTAGCTCGACTTTTCTATGAAAAGGGGAGCTATCCTACTCGCCCCGGCGTCGGCGTTGGCGTCACACCTTGGTTAAGTTTTTCGTACCACCCCACTTTATTTCAGAAGTATTACAAGTATGGCTTTGAAACTTACCATACTTGTTCACCATCATAACCTCCATCTACAGACAAGAGTACATAACTCTGTCAAGGTTTTTGACAGAATTATGGCCCTTTTTTGACTTAGAAAGTGTATTGAGCTTGGTTAAGTTTTTTGTACCACCTCACTTTATTTCAAAACCATTGGAGGTATTGCTTTGAAACTGACCATACTTGTTTACCATCACGACCTTCATCAACAGACAAGAGGACATAACTCTGTCAAGGTTTTTGACAGAATTATGCCCCTTTTTGACTTAGAAAATACATTGAATATGGGTAAAATCCACTTATTGCCTTAACCCTTTGAGATATTGCTTTGAAACTTTTAATGCTATTTCACATCATTACCCCCATCTGTACGCAAGAGAAGGTAACTCTGTCAAGGATTTGTTTTAAAAATTAAGGCCTTTTATCGACTTAGAATCTTGGTTAAGTTTTTAGTACCAGTCCACTTTTTGACTGAACTGTTTGAGATATTAATTTGAAAGTTGGAATACTTGTTTACAATCATGATTCCCAAACATGTCCAGGAGAAGGTAATTCTGTCAAAGATTTTATTTGAATTATGGCCCTTAACTGTCAATGTTTTGTATTATAGGCAAGCACTAAAAAACTTAAAAAATCTAAAAAAATTCATTCCTATCCACTTGTTCACTTTACCATAAATTATGTCATATAAACATTGCTGTAATATTCAAGGGTATCAAACAACTAGTTCACTTTAAAAATACAGAGATTCTTGTATTGCCTTTTACTGCAAAAACTTTTTTTATTGGCAAGCAATAAAAAAGTCGAGCGCGCTGTCTTACGGACAGCTCTTGTTGTCTGTGTCAGCTGTACAATAATACATTCTGTTATATGTTTTCAGGCATAAAGAGGAAGAAGCTAAAAGAAGGTTACTAGATAATCCTGTGAAAATGAAAAGGCTACAACAAGCGGTAAGGTGTTTTGTTTAGTTCTTCTCTCTATTATGTATTTTGCATGTCACTTAATATAGTTCATAAATATTTGGGGTGTCAGTGGCCATGTGGTTAAAGTCATTGACTTCAAACTATTTTCTCCTCACTTCTGTGGGTTTGAATCCCAACAGGGACTTTGGATTCTTTTATGTTAGAAAGCTATTCAGCTCGCTTATGTAGCATCAGTGGTTCTACTCAGGTGCTCTGTCCATACCTGAAATAGTGCACATATTGGCTTCTGAGGTCTTTCCAAAAAAAAAATTGTGTTCAAATTGAAACTATATCTGTGTAATTGTGGCAAATAGTGTAATTTATGATGGAAATTTAGTTCTTATCATAGTGTTTACAGCATTTATGATAGACTCTTGTTCAAGTATGTCATATTATGGCATTTATGATAAACTCTTGTTCAAGTATGTCATATTATGGCATTTATGATAGACTCTTGTTCAAGTATGTCATGATAAACTCTTGTTCAAGTATGTCATATTATGGCATTTATGATAGACTCTTGTTCAAGTATGTCATATTATGGCATGTATGATAGACTCTTGTTCAAGTATGTCATTTTATGGCATTTATGATAGACTATTGTTCAAGTATGTCATATTATGGCATGTATGATAGACTCTTGTTCAAGTATGTCATATTATGGCATTTATGATAGACTCTTGTTCAAGTATGTCATATTATGGCATGTATGATAGACTCTTGTTCAAGTATGTCATATTATGGCATTTATGATAGACTCTTGTTCAAGTATGTCATATTATGGCATTTATGATAGACTCTTGTTCAAGTATGTCATATTATGGCATTTATGATAGACTCTTGTTCAAGTATGTCATATTATGGCATTTATGATAAGACTCTTGTTCAAGTATGTCATATTATGGCATTGATGATAGACTCTTGATCAAGTATGTCATATTATGGCATTTATGATAGACTCTTGTTCAAGTAGTGCAATTATGGAATTTACCAAAGACTCTTTATCAATTCAGAATTATCAGATAAGTATAATAGTAAATACCATATTTAACCATGAAATGCATCTTGAGAATTACCATTTTATTGATGTAGATTGAAAAACAGAAAGAAGGGAAGAAGAAGAAAAAGAAGACACACAAGGCTAAGGATTCTGACAGTGATAGTGATGATGATTTGATGTCAGCCTATCTTAATATATTAAATTCTAAACATAAGGGAGGTAAATCTGCTGATAAGGGAAGTAACTCTAAAGACAGGAGGAAACAAAGGGAAGTAAGTCCTGATGACAGAGGTAAAAGAAGACAAGACAATTCTTCTGATAGGGGAGGCCACTCTAAAGACAGGAGACAAAGGGAAGTAAGTCCTGATGCAAGAGGTTATAGGAGACAAGAAAATTATTCTGACAGGGGAGGTTACTCTAAAGATAGGCGGATGCAAAGGGAAGTAAGTCCTGATGAAAGAGGAGGCTATAGAAGACAGGAAAATGGTAGATCAATGAGAGATGGAGAAGATTCTAGAGGTGGAAGTAGTCGGAGGGGATATAATAATGAGAGGGATAGATATGATAGAGACAGAGGTAGATATAGAACTAATGATGATGACGATGATAGAGGTAGAGATACCAAATACAAAGATTCAAGGTCAGATAGAGTTGAACGAGACAGGTCATACAGAAGTTATGGAGATGAAGGCATGTCTTCTAGGCGGGAAACTGAAAGGGACAGATATAGAGAAAGGTCAAATGACAATAAATATTCAGAAAGAACAAATAGAGATAGAAGGAAAAATGACCGATATTCTTCTCAAGAGGGAAACAGAAGTGACCAAGATTATTACAATGGTAAAGATAGATATAAAAGTGACAATAGATCTAGAAATAACGATAAACAATTGAACAGAAAGGGGGAAGTGTCCTCAGATTCAGATACGGACAGAAGAGACCAAACTGAAAGGGGAGGCTATTCTGGGCAGTATTCTAAAAGGGGAGATCACTCTAGAAGGAATAATTCTTCTAGTTCAGATTCAAGCAGTGAATCTGATGAAAAAAGTGCTAAGAAAAAGACTTTTCAAAGAAAAAATGTGAGACATGACTCATCATCTTCATCTGATAGTGAAGAGAATAAAACTGTTTCAAAAAGTAGAAAGAAAAGTGAAAAAGTTTTGAAAAAGAAAAGACATGATTCAACTTCTTCTTCATCATCATCGTCATCAGTAAAGAACTCTGAAAAAAGATCTCACTACTCTGAAAACAAAGGAAGTAGACAAATTTCATCAAGTGCAGCACAACGGCAGCGGTCTGAGTCCGGTTCAAGTGATGATTCTCAGGAAGAAACAAAAGATGTTCGGAAAAAGACAGTGAACTCTGATAGTGATTCAGAACACGAAAAACAACGAAAACCCAAAAATTATGGTCTTGTGATACTGGTAAGTAAATTGTTTCCAAATCTTTATAAGACTTGGGACATGATATCGTCAAGTACTGGAAATTCTACATGTGCTTAAACTTTGTTTTCTGAATTTGTGGAATGTATTAACCACACTTTGATTTTGGAACAGTTCATTCAAAATTTAAGGGATTCCAGTATTAAAATACAAAAGTTGTGCTGCCAACAATACAGCACAAATGTTTAAATTGGACTGCCTCTATTCTGGTGGCAAAGGCTTAATTGTTTTTGGTTCCTGCAGTGTTAGGAATAATGATACAATATCTATGGTGTATTCGTGGCCGAGTGGTTATGGTCTTTGTGGGTTGGAGTCTTGCTGGGGACCTTGGATTCTTATTTGTGAGGAAGCTATCCAGCTAGCAAACGAAATGTTGGTGGTTCTACTAGGGTGCCTGTTTGGGTTCTACTCTGGTGCCTTTAAGTGCCTGAAATAATGCACAGAAGGGCACCCAAGGTTTTCTTCGAGCAGTAAACTTGGTAAGTTGCTGTATGACATAAAGCCAGCAAAAAAATCTACAATACAGTTGCTATGATGTACTAATTTATTATATACCTTTGTTTTCATTGTTATATTTAATGCATGTATAACATGCACAAGTACGCCCAGACTAATAAAAAAAAAACATATACTATACTACAGAAGTGTGATCTCAATGACAGAGACGTCATAATGCCATTAAATTATACTTCATTAGAAAAGATATGGCTTTATGGGTCATAATAAAGAAAATACTGTTACACTAACAGTATCCTGATTTTTTAAAATGCATTCGGCTCTAGAACATACCAGATATGGCATTTCCTTAAGGTCCGTAACAAAGTACTCATACGCTTAGAATAACCATATGGTATTTCATGTTTTTGTTTTCAACTTTAAAACATTAAAGAAAAGGTTGACTGCTGCATGCAAAAAACTCGTTTAGTATATTCTTTAGAACTTTATATAGATATAAATTTGTTGGTTTCTTTCCTCATACAGAATCCAGACAATGTGCCAGTTCAGAAGTCCAAAAAAGTAAGTAAATATAGGTCAAGTTCAAGGTCATTATCACCTCCAAGGAAGTCTATACAAAAGAAAAGGTCAAGAAGTAGGACACCACCAAGACAGCCTAAAAGGTAAAGTGCCTGTTAACTTAATTATGTGTATAAGGATGAACATTATCTCATTCGTGTTGTAGCGTTTTAAGCATATTTCTTATGATTCACTCTTTACATGTAGAAAGATAAAAAAGTAAATATGATCTATAGTCCTGAATAACTTATTACTAAAATTATGAATAAAGTTTATAGTAAAATGAAAATGTAGGCATTGACAATAATTTGCACTTTCCAGTATCGTCCATGAACAGGCATAATCTAACCGAGCCTGCAACATTTCTAATTTTGTAGTTTCGGGCGTTCTTTAAGGATTCTATTTTTCTCTGTTTAGTGCATTTTGGTGCCTTTGGGCTCGAGCCTTTAGTCGCAACACCAGGACTGGTTTCTTTCCAGGAATCAGACTCTAGGGTGGATCAAATGTATATCATTTATGACATCAAAAATGATATTATGATATCAAATGTAATCTAAGGGTTGCTGACCGCATGTGTTCAAACCTTGTCAGGGGCAAGCCGTTGTTTCCATGAGCAAGAAACTTTACACTCATTGCTTTTCAGGAACAGATTTGAGAGTGTTTCAATAAGCTTTTAGCTTCCAACACAATCAAGCTAACATAGATTAGTATAAAGTAACTAAATGTATATCATAAGCTTTTAGCTTTCATGAAAATCAAGCCAAAATAAAATTTAATACAATGTATGTTTAAAGAAAACTCATGCCAACCAAAACTAAATAAAACTTTTTAGAGAAAAAAAACCAACTTGTTAATTTAAATGATTGACAGAAAGTTAACAGAAGAAGATAAGAAGAAGAGACTTGCAGAGATGATGGACAATGCTAAATGGAGAGAGGAACAACGGTCCAGTAATGTAAAACGCTACGCCAAGGAGGAAGAAACCGAACAAGATAATCAACGCAAAAACTATGAAACTACCGGCAGCTCGGAATTTGTCAAGTAAGTTAATAGAAACGGTATAAAACTTTATTTGATTGTCTGAAATTGACATGTACATGTGTAAATTGTTTTTATGGTCCCTCCATGTTTATTTCTCCAGCTAAAGTAGATAGACGAAACAGCATCAGTGTCATTTCTCATTGTCAAATGGACACATTTCTAGTTGTTGTGACAAATAGCATACCAAAAAATGAGATAATCTGAAAAAAAATCTTGAAAGAACACTTTCTTAAAGTCGAGGCTTTACCCACCATTAAATGAGCTATGAAATATTTTGTGAGGAAAATTTTAATTATTTTTTTCCATAATTTTGAATTTATTTAGAAAAAAACAATAACAACCATTGTTGCTTGTATTGTGTTTTTGAGTGTCCTGCAAGTCTTATCATTACTTTATTATTTATTTTATTTTCCAGTCCAATGATGTCTCTACACGCGGAGAGCAGTTCAGTGGCGGATCGTATCAAACGAAATAAACATAATATATTACGTACAACAGCAGATATGGACAGAGGCTTTAGCAAGAAATAAAATCAAAACAATGTGTGAAGAAAATGAAAAAACTAAAAAAATGATGGCATTATGCTGACAGTATTGTTGTAGAATAATAATGAAATGTGATAGAGGATATAATAACCTAAGATCAGGATCAAAATTCATATTTACATAATTTCCTTGGGACATCCTTTGGCCAAGTGGATTCGTTCATGTGAGGAAGCTATCCAGCTCGGTTGATCTACTCAGGTGTCCGCTTGTGCCTGAAATAATGCACGAAGAGCACCTTAGGTCTTCATCTGCCAGTAAAACTGGAATGTTGCCATATGACCTCTACTGTATTGATGTGACGTAAAGCCAAACCAAAAAGAATATTATTATTATTTCTCCACAGTAAAGTTTAATGTTCACCTAACAGTGGCCTTTAGAAGACTATGTCATAAATTTGATAAAAATGAAGATTTTGAAAAATTCCTTAACACTGACCACACTTAATATCTTAAAAATGGACTAGTCCATCTGTCAATCTAGATAAAACCATTTATCACTTTCATGTATGGTAAATTAGTTTCGTATTCACAATATTTTGCTTTTAAATACATTTTCAAAATGTTAAAAAAAAAAAATTAGCATGAATCTGGAGACATACTGCTTTAATGGGAAAAAATCCAGATTATATTATCATATCCTGATCCTGATTTTTCTTTGTAAAAATGAAGCCTTGTTTGTTTGATGATGAGTTTGTGTAAAATAACTCTGTACTGTCGTTTTAGAGAATGTTACTTATATATGACTTTCATGTAAATATGATTGTTTTAAAGTAATAGATGCATCTGATCTATATTAAGGAAATAAAGGGAAATAAATCTTGATGAATAAAACATGGCAAGTCTGTTTATAATGGGAGATAACTCTTGAAAACAGGAGTTAAAATTGATGAAGTTGAAGAAAATTCCAGAGACTTATATCATTTAAATAAAGCTCTGTGAATATATATAAGAAGATAATACTAATAGATCAAATGTGTATTGTGATGGAGTTTTTTTTTGTTTTGTACAAACATTGACTCGGTGGAATTTATATGTAATGTTATTTGTATCAATTGCAATAAAATTACAGAAAATATCTGCATGTTTAGATTTTAAAATGAATTGCCTTAAGTATGCATTTCATTCCTTGTGTGTACCGGCTCCGTGGTCAAGGGGTTAGAGTCGATGACTTCTAATCCAGTTACCTCTCTGGCGTGGGTTCGATCCCCGGGAGATGCTTCGGTAGTTTAGCTTGGAGGAAGGTAGTCTAGTACTGGTGTAACTCTCCAGGAACGATGGTTAGGAAACTACCCGCCTATATGACTGAAATACTGTTGGGGAAAAAGCATAAAATGAAACGAGAAACAAACAAAATCAATCCTTGTGATAGTAGATTATCCATCATCTGTGTTCATCTTCATGTCAATAATTTTGTGATCACAGTAAGATAGATCTTACGCTTATGTCAAGTTTTATCAACATTGTCGCAGTAAAGACATTGTAAATTTATGTCGTAAATTTATGTCGTAACTGTATGGTCAGTTCAGAGCAATTTCAGTAAGCCTAATATCTTAAAAATGGCAGCCATTTTCTTCACAGTTCCAGGCAGGATCTTTCAAATACAAATATTTGAAGTTTACAACTAATTTCAGTTTTTTTACTTACATATGTGCTAGTAGGATCATATCTATCACTTGGTTAGTTTTATCTACAGATTATTTCCATAAAGAATCGATGGCTTGTTGTAATATTTTCATTTTATGTATATCTGACATGACCGCCTCCGTGGTCGAGGGGTTAGAGTCAATGACCTCTAATCCAGTTACCTCTGGCGTGGGTTTGATCTATGGGAGATGCTTTGGTAGTTTAGCACTGAGGATGGTAGTCTACTAATGTAAATTTCCAGGAACGATGGTCAGGAAACTACCCGCCTATGTGACTGAAATACTGTTGGGGAAAAGGCGTAAAATGAAACAAACAAACAATATCTGACATGTATACGTGCTAGATAGTACTCTTGTCACACCTGACGTCAGACTGGTGAATAAGGTAGGGTAGAAAATCTGTCTTGAAACCCATCTGCGGCAAGAACGTGTACAAAAAGTGGACCACAATCAATGCAGCACTGAAGCTCTGATGTGTTAATCTGTCTTTGTTCACAATATCTCTTATTCATTCACTTCAAAGTAGACAGAATGTTCACTGTACACCACACAGCAAAGTGGTATCTGAAAAATTATAGAACTAAAGGTCTAATAACTATACAATGTATAATAGTTACAATATGATGTTTTACATTGATGATAAGCAAAGGGTGACTTCAAATTATGTACATTTTATTTTCTTTAAGCTTGACATGTAGACAGACACACACTTAAATGTAAAAAGTTGGTAAATATAATCGGATTTTTTTTAACAATGCTTAAAAAAGGCGTTCATATGTAAGATTGTAATATTATTGTTCACTCACTAAAGGTGGGGCTGTTAAGGAACATTTAGAGGGGCAACTGTAAGGAGCATCTTAATGGGTAACTATTAGGAGGATTAAGAGGGGCAACTGTAGGGAGCATTAAGAAAGGCAACTATAAGGACCATTTGGAGGGGCAATAGTAAGGAGCATCTTAATGGGTAACTATAAGGAGGATTTAGAGGGGCAACTGTAGGGAGCATTAAGAAAGGCAACTATAAGGAACGTTTAGAGGGGCAACTATACGGAGCATCTTAATGGGTAACTGTAAGGAGGATTTAGAGGGGCAACTGTAGGGAGCATTAAGAAAGGCAACTATAAGGACCATTTGGAGGGGCAATAGTAAGGAGCATCTTAATGGGTAACTATAAAGGAGGATTTAGAGGGGCAACTGTAGGGAGCATTAAGAAAGGCATCTATAAGGAACATTTAGAGGGGCAACTGTAAGGAGCATTTTAATGGGTAACTATAAGGAACATTTAGAGACGCAACTGTAAGGAGCATCTTAATGGGTAACTTTAAGGAGGATTTAGAGGGGCAACTGTAGGGAGCATTAAGAAAGGCAACTATAAGGAACATTTAAAGGGGCAACTGAAAGGAACATTTTAAGGGGTAACTATAAAGAGGATTTAGAGGGGCAACTGTAGGGAGCATTAAGAAAGGCAACTATAAGGAATATTTAGAGAGGCAACTGTAAGGAGCATCTTTATGGGTAACTATAAGTAGGATTTAGAGGGGCAACTGTAGGCAGCATTAAATAGCAACTATAAGGAACATTTAGAGGGGCAACTTTAAGGAACATTTAGAGGGGTAACTATAAGGAGGATTTAGAGGGGCAACTGTAGGGAGCATTAAGAAAGGCAACTATAAGGAACGTTTAGAGGGGCAACTATACGGAGCATCTTAATGGGTAACTATAAGGAGGATTTAGAGGGGCAACTGTAGGGAGCATTAAGAAAGGCAACTATAAGGAACATTTGGAGGGGCAATAGTAAGGAGCATCTTAATGGGTAACTATAAGGAGGATTTAGAGGGGCAACTGTAGGGAGCATTAGTAAAGGCAACTATAAGGAACATTTAGGGAGGCAACTGTAAGGAATATCTTAATGGGTAACTATAAGGAGGATTTAGAGGGCAACTGTAGGGAGCATTAAGAAAGGCAACTATAAGGAACATTTAGAGGGGCAACTGTAAGGAGCATCTTAATAAAAACTGTAAAGAGGATTTAGAATGGGAACTGTTGGGAGCATTAAGAAAGGCAACTATAAGGAACATTTAGAGAGGTAATTGTTAGGAGCATCTTTATAAAAACTGTAAAGAGGATTTAGAGGGGCAACTGTAGGGAGCATTAAGAAAGGCAACTTTAAGGAACATTTTGAGGGGCAACTGAAAGGAGCATCCCAATAAAAACTGTAAAGAGGATTTAGAGGGGCAACTATAGGGAGCATTAAGAAAGGCAACTATAAGGAACATTAAGAGGGGCAACTTTAAGGAGCATCTCAATAAAAACTGTAAAAAGGATTTAGAGGTGCAACTGTAGGGAGCATTAAAAAAGGCAACTATAAGGAACATTTAGAGAAGCAACTGTAAGGAGCATCTTAAGGGGTAACTGTAAGGAGGATTTAGAGGGGTAACTGTAGGCAGCATTTAGAAAGGCAACTGTAAGAGACATTTAGAGGCGCAACTGTAAGGAGCATTTATAGAAGCAACTGTAAGGAGCATTTGGGGAGCAACTGTACGGCAATTTAGAGGGGCAACTATAAAGAGCATTTAGAGGGGCAACTATAAAGAGCATTTAGAGGGGCAACCATATTGAGCATTTTGAAAGGCAACGATAAGGAGCATTTAGAGGGGCAAGTTAAGTAACATTAAGACGGGCAACTATAAGGAGCCTTTAGAAAGGCAAATGTAAGGAACATTTAAAGGGGCAACTGTAAAGATCATTAAGAGCGACAGCTATGAGGAGCATTTAGAAAGGCAATTGTAAGAGAAATTTAAAGGCGCAACTGTAAGAAGCATTTAAAGAGGCAACTGTTAGAAGCATTTGGGGAGCAACTGTACAGAACATTTAGAGGGGCAAATATGAGGTGCATTTAAAGGGGCTACTGTTACGACCATTTTGGGAGCATTAATATGGTCAGCTCTCAGGAATATTTAGATGAACAACTGTTAGCAGTATTAAGAAGGCAAATGTAAGAAGCACTAAGAATGGCATCTATCAGGAGAATTTCCAGAAGCAAATGTTAAGAACTTTAAGAGGGGCAACGGTATAGGGAGCATTTTAAGAGGCAACTGTTAGAAGCAGTTGAAAGCAACATTTAGAGGGTCAAATGTTCAGACCATTTCAAAAGACAAAGAACATTTAAACTGAAGACTATAAGGAGCTTAAAGAAGGGCAATTGTTAGCAACATTTAGAGGGAAAACTGTTAGGAGTATTTTAGTAAGCATCTGTAAAGCGGATTTATAAGGGCAACTGTTAGGAGCATAGAGAGGTGCAACATGTAGGGGGGCAACTGTTCAGACAAAATAGAGGGACATAGAGCATGTAGAAGGGAAATGTAAGGAGAATTAAGTTTTGCATGAAACATTAAATTTGTTACAAAAAACTACTGATTGTATTAATTTGAAACTTGATTCATACTGTTTGAACTACAATTCATTTACTCGCCAAGACCTATAACTCTACATGGATTTTGAGTGGAATAAG